GGTGATAAGGATGAAAAGCTGACAAAAAAGCAATATTGATAATGAAGAGGCTAAAGCAACTTGAACCTTTAAAAGGTTAAATAAAATTAATTATTGTCTTATATCATCATTTAGGTTAAAAATAATTAATGTACTTTAACTGCTTTGTTCTTTACTTTTAAATGTAATTGATTTACTATTAAAAATGAATTACTTAATGATGTGTATGGGTGTTTGTGATGCTCTATTCTTAGCAACTTAAACCTTAAAAAGGTTAAGAAAAGTTAAATATTTCTTATATTGAAAATTGGTGTATAGGGGTGTTTATTGTGATGATGTTGTTTTAGATTCATATATGATATGATGTGTCTTGTACTATAATTTGATTATGCTATTTGATATGATGGTTATAGAAGTTAATAGAATAGGACATAAAGTAAATAAAATACCTAATATAATTCATTGTTTATGAAATTACAGGAAGTAAAAAAAGAAAACCAGAACCAGCTGCTGAAGATGATTATAAACCAGAAGATGAACCTTCAAATAACGAAGAGAGCGATACTAAACCACCTCTAAAGAAAAGAACAAAAAAGGAGAAAAAAGATAAAGAGATGCAAGATATTGTAGTTGTTGATGATGAAGATGTGAAGACAATGGTGGTATTATAATAAAAAAGACACACTGCAGACCAAATGCTGTAATAGATTTGATGAAGGATTTAAGTGAAGATTAGAAAAGGCTGTGTCAAACATAGGATATTGTTGTTCAAGAGGATTTTACCAAAGATGATGGTAATAATGCTGAGGAAGATGGTGAACAACCAAGGAAAAAAGCAAGCAAAGATAAGCCACCTGTCACAAAAGACACAAGTAAAAAGGCACTCAAAGATGCTGAAGAGACTTAGGGTAGTTTTCTTTGAATTAACTTTGGGTAGTTTTCTTTGAAATTTAATAGTCGTAGATAAAAGTAAATAGAAATTATATAGAAGTAGATAAAAAAAAAATTTAACAAAAGAAAGTAAATATTGCATAAAAGTAAATATGAAACAATTAAAAGTAGATAGTGTATGATTTCTTTGAAACTACATCTGCTGTTTTATTTCAGGTAATAGTGATAAACAACCTGTTGCAGAAGAAACCATTGTGCTTAAGAACATTCACCAAGAAATAGCTACAAAGATAAACATCAATGTAGATTGTGGAGAAAAAGATGTTAAACTTAATTTCATTTCAAAGTCAATGAGAAGCTACAAATCAAGAATGAATGAAATGCCAGAGCTGTATCAAGTAGTGGCTGATTACTGCTTTGTGTATAGTGCAATTAAACAGTAAGTTATGAAATTTTTTAATTTTAAATATATTCTATCTACTTTAGTTAATATTTAATTTACTTTAAATAATATTTTTTTACTTTATAAACACTTAAATGTGCACAATGAAGAGCTTATGAAATATGAAGCTCCTCTCATGATAACAAGGGATGACACAGTATCCCTAGCTCCAACTGCCCCCCCTTGTTTAAGGGTTTTTTTAGGTGTCCTACGGGAGAGTTACAGCACCGGGAATGTACGCCTGACTTCTGTACCTGCAAAACCACGAAACTCCGGTTGGGTGGAGTTCCGCCTCCGACGGTCAAGTTAGTATG